AAAGTGATCAGTGTGATTTATTATTAGTGTCTTTTAAGATTTAATTGGTACTCGGCAATTAAAATGTCAATTCAAATTTTGGTAATTCAATCGGCAGTTTTTATTGTCACGAACACTAAGCTTGTAACAATATATTAGTTTTTAGTTGTATTATGTTAGTTGTTTCAAAAAGTATGTTTTTAATTTGTACTTAATAATTTTTCGATTCATATTTTTCTTTAAGACTTCTTTAAGGCTAAGGTAGGTAGTTTATTAATTAATTTAGGAATAATAATTATATTATTATTATTATTATATTTAAGAAAACAACAGCGTTCTATGTAGTTTACATTAAACAATAGTATTCTTATAATAAGGCAAATAACAGGTTTCCATTAATTACTATGGCATATCATATAATTAGTATCAATGGTATCAATAGGTAAAGATAAAGATAAGATAAAGATATTTTATTTGCAAATATGGGTACAGTACATGGTAATATAGGCAGTCAGTTCAGCCATATTTTACCAGTAGATATGCAAAATATACAGAAATATAAACTAATCACCTAAACAGCTCTAATAAAATAAAGTAAAAACACAAAAACAAACATAATTGAAATTTTTAACATTATACAGTCTTAATCTCAAAATAAAAAAAGTTTCAGTCAAGAATTTTGTTACGCTATAGTATGCTTTGACTGTCAAGAAGCTGTGATCATCCCGCGGTATGAGTGTTCCATGCCGGAAGTGCAGTTCACACAGCGCTCGGTTCGCAAAGCACTCCTCTCCCTGGACATCCACTAGTCGAGTGGGCCTGACGGAATCCTCCCAATTGTGCTGAGGACGAGTGCTCCAGAGTTGGCACCGGTTTTAACGCGTCTTTTCCGGTACTCCTACTCCCTAGGCATAGTCCCAAAATCATGGAAAACGGCTTTCGTCCACCCGATCCCTAAAAAAGGCGACCGCTCAGACCCGTACAGCTACAGGCCCATTGCATCACCTCCTTGTTCTCCAAAACAATGGAATCTATTATAAACTGCAAGCTCATGATGTACCTTGAGAATCACCAGCTGATTAGTGATCGCCAATACGGTTTCAGTCGTGGTCGATCAGCTGGTGATGTTCTGGTCTACCTAACTCATAGATGGGCGGCGGTAGTAAAGTCCAAGGGGGAAGCATTGGCCGTTACTTTGGACATTGCGAAGGCCTTCGATCGGGTTTGGCACAAAGCGCTTCTTTCGAAGCTCCCTTCCTATGGGCTTCCCGAGAAATTGTGCGATTGGATCACCAGCTTTCTTGCAGATCGGAACATCAAGGTCGTTGTAGACGGTGCAAGCTCCGATTGCAAGCCTATGCTGGTGTTCCACAAGGCTGCGTGCTATCGCCAACGCTGTTTCTTCTGCATATCAATGATATGTTGCAAACCCGTAACATTCATTGCTATGCAGATGACAGCACTGGTGATGCTCTTTACACCGGCCGAGCCAATATTTCTCGGGAAAACGTCTCCGAGTGCCGGGACAAACTTGTGTCTGAAGTCGAGTCTTTGCTGAACAGGGTCTCGGATTGGGGGCGACTAAATCTAGTCCAGTTTAACCCCCAGAAGACACAAGTTTGCGCGTTAAGCACTTAAAAGAACCCCTTTGTCGTATCTCCTCAGTTTCAAGGCACTCCCTTTGTTGCCTCAGCCAGTATCGGAATCCTCGGCGTCGACATATCGAGTGACGTGCAGTTTCGTGGTCACTTGGAAGGGAAGGCCAAATTGGCCTCTAAAAAAGCTTGGCGTGCTCAGCAGAGCGGGACAGTCTTTCATGCCGGCACACCGCCTGCAACTTTACAAGGCGCAGGTTCGGCCGCACATGGAATACTGTTCCCATCTCTGGGCTGGGGCTCTCCAGTACCAGCTCCTTCCACTTGACCGCATCCAGCGCAGAGCGGCTCGAATCGTCGACGACCGAGTGCTTTCCGATCGGCTCGATTCACTGGCACTGCGAAGAGTTGTTGCATCTCTTTGCATTTTCTTTCGCATATACCATGGCGAGTGCTCTGAGGAATTTCGTGAACGCACTACGCGGCAAACGTCCCGAACTAACCACACCATCTGGATGCTTGGCGGTCCACTACTGTACGTTTCAAAAGGAGTTTTCTTCCGCGTACAACCTCTCTGTGAAATAGTTTACCACCGGCGATTTTTCCGGATCGATACGACCTGGGGACCTTCAAGAAAAGAGCTTACTCCTTTCTAAAGGACCGGCAACGCACCTGCAATTCCCCTGGTGTTGCGGTTGATCATGAGCGGTGGTAGTCACTTAACATCAGGTGAGCCGCATGCTCGTTTGCCCCCTCTTCTATAGAAAAAAAGCTTCGAAGCCTTTTTTGAAATATCGATAGCGGCAATTCTTTCCAAATTTTAAGTATTTTATCATATATCACTGGAGCCATGCAGTATATACTTTTGCGCATTAGTGCTGTCTTAGCGGATTGATGACACAAAAGTTCGTCTATTTCGTGGAACTACTTGGTCAAGGCGTTTAAAACGTTTTGGATGCATTTCAACAAACACAGCTACTTCTAGTATGTATAAACAAGGTAATGTCAGTATTTTATACTGTTTAAAATATGGTATGCAACTATCGGTAGTTTTAAGCTTTAACATCGCCCTTATAAATCTTTTTTGAGCCTTAAACGCCAATTCTTTTTCGGTTGAGTTACCCCAAAATATTATTCCATATCGGAGGTGGGATTCTGATAAGCCGTAGTAAGCAGTGAAGAGTGCATCCGTGTATACTATTAAAGACAAAATATGTAAAGCATATGCGGTTTTACTAATTTTCTTACATAAAGTATTAACGTAATGTGTGCTTTCCAGTTAAGATGTTTACCTATTTCGGGACCCAGGAACTTTGCAGTTTCAACTGCAGGTATAAACTTATATTTACACTTACATCATTAAATTGTTGCATCTATTACCTCAGGCAGCACGCACATTCGAAAAGTCTCATACACAAATTCATGAACATATGTACATGTACACTAATGAAATCAATAACATCTAACACTATTCAACGGTAACAAACAAATGCACACGAACACACACATGTTATTTTTTTAACAAACAAAAACACACGAATACACGCATGTTATTTTTTATACACTAGATTAGGAGAATATTATTATTATTTTACTTTACTATAAATTATGTTATTTTATTTGGGTTTTAAGTTTATGACTTTCAATAGCACCTATAGCTAGCGCTTAAAAGCGGTTTTACTGTAGTTAAAAATATAAATTTCTCCAAAGAATTCATTGTAAACACTGGGTAGACGTGAGACCCCCCCCCCCCCCTCCCAAACGGGTTTCTGCCTTGACGTGGCAGGGGGGCTTAGTAGCCGTGGCTTGGTCACCCGCGGTGAACAAAGAGGAACCCACATGGCTGACCCTAGGTGAAGGGCCGGCCCGAGGAGGCCACTGTGGGCTTGGCAAGGCCACTTCGGATGTATGCTGGTGGGCTGCGGTGCGGTTTTTAATGATTTGAATTTAAAAAAAATAATCAATGTCGCCGAGTGCCGGACAAACTTGTTTGTCTGAACTCGAGTCTTTGCTGAACAAAGTTTCGGATTGGGGGTGACTAAATCTAGTCTAGTTCAACCCCCAGAGGACACAAGTTTTCGAGTTTACCGCCAAAAAGAACCCTTTTGTAGTAGTAAATACTTTCCTAATTTAAGATTTCCGAAAAGCCGTAAATTGGCAAATAAGTTGGTGGTGACAATAGTTTTTGATGCATATTTAGTGAGAGGGCTCTAATGCAATTATTATTTAATTTAAACGTTTTTGTTAACACATACTTTATCAAATACAGTTATTGAATAACGGTTATTAGACGAATTTTCGAAAATTATTCGTAAAATCTTGATGTCGGTCAAAAATATATTGTCACTAGATTGAAATATTTTATATATAAAACGCGATCAAGCTTTCAGAACCACAATTGTATAATAAGTTAACCGTTTTGAAGAGGTGGTAAATTAATTAGATTTTTTGTTTGATTAATAAACATCGTTTTATAAATTCGTAACTGTGTTTTATAGATCTGCTAAAACCTACTTTTTAATTACCGACCTACCTGATATTACATTTAGAAATACTTATATAATTAACTTAAGTACGCATAGGCGTAAATCTTGGTGAATCTCTATTCAACCATTTTAAGTATGTGTCAGTATCTACAGAACATCTGGTTACGCTTGGTATAATGAGCAATAAGCGGTACGCGCGCTCTGTAGCTTGTTTGTTTATACTCGAAGAAAGTGCTAGGCTATAATACATTTGAGGCAATACAAATACTATAACAAATATGTTTATATAGTTGGCAGTTGGTAGTATAAAGTCAATGGTCGTAGTGGTGATATCGAAGCACATAATTCACGTTTTCTTTTAATAATTTACATGCACAAACATTTAATATAAAAAATCCTAATACTTTTACGTATTGAATTCACTTTAAACCATTATTCAAACGATATAACAGGCCAAAATTTGGGTAGGTATTAAATATCCAAGGGATACTGAGACTCCGTGTCCTTTCTAACTCCGATCACGCTTACCTGTCTATAATATCAGATCCTAAGAAATCGGTTTTAGTATAGTTTTTAAAAATGTTTTTTTTTTGCGCGTTATTGTTTGTGTTTTGTAATGGTCGACGTAAGATTGGATGGTGTTTTTAAATAGCGTTGTGGTGTTTTGATATATTGATTTTGTAATAAATGATTATAAAATTTAAATTTCACAAAAAAGTTAAATTCAATACATGTCTTGCCAGGGTTTTATAAATATTTTCGTTTGTGCAATACTTATTAGATATATTTTTACACTAGAGTTATCAACATAAGAAGAAATAAAGAAAAGAGTATTAAAATATTGACATGAGAAAAATGTGAGCTGATATAGTGATTATGATAGGAACCCAAAAAACCGGTACGTTGTGCGTCACTAGGCACTTCCGCCGATTTGTATAAAATGGCGTCAGCCGAGTTCTTAGAGCAAGCTTTGTCTACAGACGTTGATGAGAACGCAGTTAACGCGATTGTTGGTTCGCTTGAAAATCAATTAGTGACGTCCGTCCCTTCACTACCATCACAGAACAACATAGTAAATGTTATTCCCAGTCAAGTTAACATTACTTCGAGTGCAAGTTCTATTATTGGTGTTCCGAAATACAACACGGGCCGTGTCAGTGATGGTGAAGTAGAGAGTGTAAACTTTCATTCATCTAGTTCTAACAGTTTATCTTTCACAATCGTGCAATCTTCTCAATCAAATTTTGTGTCGCAAAACTTGACTCAAACAAATTCAAACGCTAGTGAGCAATTAAAAGTGATATACTCTCAGACTCATACATTGCCTAATTCTACAAGTCGAGTGACTTTTCCTGCTCAATCTATAGCGAACGGGTGCCTTAGTTTATCATCGCCTCAAAATCATATTATCCACACAATTTCACAAAGCGGTGTTCCACAGTCTGGAGCAAAAACACTAACCATGCAGCCTCCATTAGTAATTAAACAGGGAACGACTACAGGACAAGTGGGTATGCAACCTGGAATGGTTACAGTACCCATGACAGTTAATTCCAGTATGCCTACTTCCATACCCAATGTTATGACAATCAATAAACCTGGACAAAATGTTGTGGTTACCACTCAGAATTTAGGATCGGGTCAACCTACGATTTTACCCAATGTACAAATATTGAATATGAGACCTGGAGCTCCAACTGTAGCGGCACAGAAATCTGTAGCGACAGTGTCACCCAGGGTTGTGATTGGAACACAACAAGTAGTTGGAGCAAGACCAGCGGCACCTGGTGTAAGTTTTGGTTATCATTTTACATGCATATATTTGCACTTTAATATAGTACAACTGTATTAATATTCTAAAACCTCTATTCAAATTATTTACGCTATGATAATTAAATGAAAAGTGTTTTCAGTTACTTGTGGAGTGATTGTATTTATTGAGTATGGAATAACTATTATATTTTATGGATTTGTATCCTTAAGTATAAATTGCTCCAAAAGTAATGTAAAATGGTATAAAATATTTAGAGGATATACATTTTTAAGCTAAAGAGCTTATTGCACATACATTTATCCTAATTGTATTTGCCTTATTAACAACTCTGTGAATATTTAGAGAAGGCCTGTCATACAATTACAATTTTTTTTAAATTTATGTGTTGCAAGTATTAAATTATAATGTGCAGTATCTCTTCTAATGTAAATGTAATTTCTGTTGCATTGCCTATGTAAATCAATGTTTACTTAAGCCTTTATCTGTTATATTAGACTATGTGTAATTACCTCAGAAATACCAAAATCATCACTTGAAGTACTGATGGTACTAGCATTAAGAATATCATACTCATGTAACCAAACCATTTTGCATGATTGGCGCATTTCTTGCCCTTAACTATTATACACAAATATTTCATTTTATAAATAACATCATTTTTCATTTTTAACTAAAATGATGATATTATTTAGTTTTATATATTTTGTATTAATAGTATTCACTTTGATCCCTCCTCATCCTCACTATTAAAATTATTCCATACAACATATAAATAACTTGTGAAAATCTTATTTTAACTTATATATTTTATTTATGTATTTCTAGTCTATAGTCTTCGTGTTGTAGCATGATGCAAATGTCAGGTCATGCCTATGAAGTTTCGTATTTTTTTTAGATAAACTGTCATACTGATAGTTTTCCGTAACTCCGTGTCTAAGCGTATTTTGTGTGTGGGTAGGAATAATGTGGTTATTCGAGCCATGATATTTCCCCGAAGAAGTTCAACAGTTCTTTGATGTTGCAAGCAACTTCAGGGAGCGATCCCGGCGTGCTGTGTTCTTTCAGGATCCCCCAAAAGTAGCAGTACCTTGCCCAGCTCCCTGAGTGTTGCTTTTGGAAGCAGCGAGCGCAGCTCTTTCTCTGCAGCCTTTTTATCACTGCTTCTTATTCTTCTTTTTGACCTTTGCACCACTGCCTGCTGGAATAGACCCACCTGATGGTCCGTCAGATTGGCAAGTCACCATTTTGGGTGCCTTGCGCTTCCTATTACGGCTCACCACTTGCCATAGGTAGCAGAGAAAGGGTCTTCGGTCCTTTGGAGCTCTGCAGGATTTTTGTTACTCACAGACCCTTGCTCATTTTTCGCGTCCAGCTCCTTGGATTTGGAACTGGTTTTGGAAACATCCAGCGCGGAACTTACCACCTTGGTGGGGCCACCTACGCTGGGTGGTACAGTCTGTGGAACCGTCGGTTCAACGGTGGTTCCTTCAGGTTTATCAGTGTCTAAGGTAAACACCTCTGACACGTCTTCTTCTCTACTAATGGGCCTTGTGTTGTCCATAGTTTTTTAATGTGTTATAATTCATCCTCCCGACTTCCCACCCTCCATGGAGCCTGAAACTTTGGGAACACCCTACTTTATTAAAAGAATTTTAGATGTTAGGATTACCAGGGAATATAGGGACGCAGAGTTGGCTCACAGCGCGACATCGGGAACTCGATCCAGCTGGCAGATAGGGCTGAAAGGGCCCATCCCCACTGCCCAAGTAGACTTTCACTTGCTCCATCAGCATGGCCTTTACCAACACCTAGCCCTTTTCAGGAAGATTAGGCAGCCCCCACAACATCCACACCCCTCGCCTGCGACCCTCTGACGGGACACTTGGCCAGATAAGGCCACCGTTTAGCTTGAAATCTGGACCAAAGAAGGTGTGTTGCCTCTCGACACCATATACCCCAGTGACGATCGGCTCAACCATTCAGGATCCCTTCATCCCTGCATACGACGCTCAACTGCGAAGGTCCTAGCGTAGGTGGGTGTGTTAGTCCACCGGATACACCCACTCTCTCCGGTGGAACCGCTCCCTCCTCTTTTCCGGGCTTGGGACCGGCAGCACCAAAAAGCACAGACAGAGTTAGTTGCCTATGCTTTTTGATGCAGGCAGAGTTATGTCTATCTGTCATACTCATATCATGGTACTTCATGGATGGGTACCGCCCACTTACCATAGTGATGTGCCATGCTAAACTATGCCATGCCAAACAACAACAGTCTATCAAAAATTGGTATTGAAATAAATCAAATATATAAAAATCTCATAAATATGTGTTGAAATCGGAACTTATTGTTCAACAAATTCGGTTTTATGGAAATAAACGCACATAGACAAATATGCAGTGTTTCTGATGCATGGGCGATAAATTATTCGTTGGTCAGCTCAGGCAAAATAATTATGAAAAAAAAATCCACATTGTGTCAAAAAGACTATCATAACTTATGGCAGTCAAAATGTCCGATTTTTTAATTCATAACATTTGTATATTATTTCTTTTATCTTTCGTCCCAATATTTGGCCCATTGGAACTAGCAACATTAATACACATATAGCGACAGGCGTTAGCACTTCGTAACTTGAAAAGCTGCCGTTGCAAGCAACGTCATACTGAAAATTGCAGATGCTGGCAGCCATTTTATTTGTTTAAATGTCAATATGAATGTTGCAATCAACCAAAAATGAAAGATGATTTTTATTTTCAAAATAATACATAGTATAATCTATAAATTGAGGTGTCTATTTGTAATATCAAAATAACAGCCTTTTACTAAATGCATATCAAAGTATGTATAGTATTTATAACAAAAAGACAAAAACAATTTTTAAAATGTTTGTCTGTTTGTTCTGGCTTTTAGCTGGCACTGCTAGATAGCTGATGTTATACGAAGTAACACAGGCTACTTTTATTTAGTAAAAAGAATTATGATTCTACGCTAAAAACTTAAAACACATGAAATTCAATCATAATAAATACTATGTGGACGAAGTCACGGGAACAGCTATTAGGTCATAATTTATATTTAACTTTAACTTAATTTTACAGACTTTATAAAGAAATATATGTTTTTTAATTTTGGTATTGTTAATCGCCTATTTTTAAATCGATTTAACATTGTTCCATCTCTAAACATGTCAAACTGTAAGCTGTCACCCTCACCATGCTGTAACACAAGACTATAAATTATAAAAATGTATAGTATTAAATAATGTATTACCAAATATTTATTTTTATTCATCAATTCTTGTAAAATTATTGAAATAATTGTGTTATCAGTTATATTCATTATAAGTAAAGTTGCAAGTTTTAGATGTCAAAATATAATTTATTTATTTACTTGAAATATTGAGGTAATTATTAGGTAAATATTGACATTATTATGCACTATACCTGTGAATTTCTATATACTATGTCAATACATGTCCAATATTAAAGCTACAAAATACAAAGTATAGCAACAGGTTGTACTTTTGTTTATTATATATAGGAGAGCATCATACATATTATACAGATACATACTTTGAAGACTTTGCTAGTGCCACATCACATCATTTTTATCATGTGATGTGTCATCACATGATAAAAACTAAGAGACTGATTATAATTTACCAGAGCCCCCAAAATTGAATTGACCAGGACATTGAATCTGCTACTTGTGGTAAGAGATTTCAGTGTGATAGTAAATAACACAGAGTTCTCAGATTGTCATTAACAATAGGCACATCAATGCTGCTGCTATTGAGTCAAATGTGTCATAGATCAATAGGTCATGTATACATGCCTCATCCAAAGGCATATTGCTAAATGTTGTTTGCAATGACTTTAATATATTCAATAATATAGTATTTAAAAAAAAAAACATTCAGTCTGTTGTTGTACAAATGCACATGACAATAAATTGTGTAAAACTAACTGATCCAACTGTATTTTGCATGACCAACTTTTAAGAAATATTGAAGGTTTTATATCTTTCAAGGCCTTGAGCCAAATGACCAGAGCAACTAAGCTCATTCAGTTACTATTACTAAAACCCCATGTTTGTTTTTCCTAGTTTAGCAACTTTAAATGGATTTTGGCAGCATCAAGTATTTCATGAAAGTCACACAGTGTTATCAGACTAAACTTTGATTTAACTTCTGTAGTTTAACTTAACCTTAAAAAGTTAAAGTTGTTTTTGAACAAAAATGGGTCAAACTTACTATATTGACTCAGCTGTACTATATACACTAATTTATAATTGATAGTGTATGTATATTTATAATATATATTTTTTATTTTTAGTGATTAATGCAAAAATATCAAATTACCAGTTTGAAATATTAATTCAAAATTTACAACAATAATTGTGTTATGACTTAAATATTAAAGCACAATCTTCAACAATATAAAAGGTGTTTTCAAATTCGATTCTAGATTTTATTTTATTACTGTATTATCAACAGGATTTTATTAAAGAATCTCAAAAAATTAAGAATAGTGCTTTGGACTTGCATAGAACAAATTGTGCAAGTATAGTGAAGTCCTTTTGATTATTAATACAATATATATATATATATATATATATATATATATATATATATATATATATATATATATATATTTGACTAAATTAAACTTATTCATATAATTAATGCCTGAGTGACCACCACTACACAATCTACATGCACAAAAATCTGCAGCCTACTCATGCATTGATATTGCAACCTTTTTATTTATGTAACCAACTATATGTTAACCTAACAAATGACCTGCAGAGACTCAGATTATTACTTATAAAACAGCATAGATTTAGTTCAGTGAAATTGAAATAGGGCGTTCATTTTTAGATAACGCTGCAAACACTGCAAAGTCTACAGCAAGGGCAGCAGGGTCATTTGTTGTTAAAGACTGAGAATGGTCAATATCAACTGTTGAGGGTTGGTCCGGCTCCTGCTGCCAGCAACCTTACGGCGCCGCAGCCACAGACCCTCCGGCTGTCAACTGTGCCGGCAGTAAGTAGGCACAGCTCCACAATCCATCAATCAGCAACTTTGAAATTGGACAAGCTTTATACCTTGCTTATATCCTATGCCCATATACTAAGATCTCTACATAAATTGTCCAGTTTCAACTAATCATGCATGTGTTATCAAGGTGTTGGTGCATGTTCTCTGGTTATTAACAAGGTAAGAATGTGTTGGACCTTGCTCAAAATGTGTGTATGATCAACAGATTCATATTTATTTAATTTAAAAAAATTGTAGCATGAACATTTGCTTTCCTCCATAATTTCTTACAAAATTAAAATGTCACATTTGTTCACAAGCTTAACATTTCCAGTAACTGATCTATTCAAAAAAAAAAAAAATTTAAAACTTTGTATTTCATACTAACACAACATTCCATTCAGTATTACAAATGTTCATGCTAATGTGATGCTTTGAAAATGTGCATGCAGATCCTGACACTATTCTGGTTATTGCTACAGTCTTAGCTTTTTATGCAATGTAATGCTTAAATAATACATGAAAAGTCTATATTCACTGCATAAAATTGCTATAATGAAGGGTGATCAAAATTTTTTATTAACAAAATATTTAGTGAATTGTGAACCTGTTTCGATGAATCTTTTTTTATTAAATAAATTTAGAGAAAAAATGCACTTAATTAGGGGATGAAGTTCTTATCGTAACTATTTTTACTACCTTGCCTTTAAGCCTGTGATATCTCATTATGCACTGAAAGAAGTAAAAAAAAACTTTTAATAAAAAGTAGAAGCATATTTCAAAGAATTAAAAATAATAAAATAATTTTATATTTTGTAGTTGGGGTTTAATTCTTCAATACATTCCCAGCACCAACTTTAGAATGTGATTTTATTTTACCTTTTAGCTCTTTGAAGTCAGCTTTTAATTTTTATTATTAATTTAAGTTTTTCTAGTAAATATATCGACAGTGGAAAGCCAAAAATTATCAAGCAACATATAGGCAACTTTACAGAAGAGTTGAATACAATTTGAAATTTTGAAGAAAAATCATATCAATTCTACTGCTAATCCTATCGGCATGATTCTTGCGTGATTAAAAAGTTGTTTTGACTTTTTATTACATACTATAAGTATTCTGGTTTTGCTTACTATTTCCGAAGTTAGTGTCGCTTAGTTAAAAAAAAATAACCACGAACTGGAAAAATTGACTCTTGATGTAACAATCGAAAATAAATCATAATCAGATATTTTAGAATAATTTGAGCATGGAAATATCTACATAATAAAAAATAAATATATTTTTATAATCAGGGATCAGAAGACAAATTAAAATTAGGTCTTACCCCAAATAATTTAATGAGGTTTTTTGGTTTAACAAAGAAAAACACTAGTATTTGAACATCTTTTTTCATTAAAAAAGTTATTTGTTTAATTTCGTGATTCAAAATCACATTTATCATCAGAAATCATTGGTTTTATAAAAATTTGAAGAAATCCAAGTGCGCCTAGAATGCTGTCTGCGTTTATCCTTAAAAGGGCTATACTAAGCCTTTGCAGCCCTCTCATCACCATCTTTTCATAATAGAGATAGAATAAGGGTGACAAACAAGCACACAGTCCACCTGCTGGTAAGCAGATGCTGTGGCTCATAGACATCTACATTTATCCTCGCTTAAGAATCAAAAGTCAGGCTGAGGACTAAAGTGGAATGCCTCGTTTCAAGTAAAAAAGGGTTTTCGGATCTCTACACTCGCCGTACGAAACACAGCAGTATTAAGCTGCTATTTTACGCTGGTATTCTGTGAGAGTGTGGTCCTGCCCCGGTCAAGACGACCCATTTGTGCTACAACCATAATATAGCTGCAGCGTGGCTCTACCACTTATAATGTGAATGTAGGTATGTCGATGTGTAGCATTGACTGTTGCAGATTTATCGTAGATACATGTTTGAGATAAAAACTAACCAAAAATAGGTACCATTTTACTTGAATATAATTTTACCGGTTATCTAGTCTAGTCGAAGTGGCGAGTCATCGGGACACGCAGTCCCATACCTGTGCACTAAACACCGACTTAGTGCACAATGTTTTACTTTTTGTTCCTATCGGCCACTCCAATATTAAATCACAGCCTAGTTACACGACAGTGCAAAATTAAAATGAAAGGCTTAACCGACGTTTTATTAAGAAATCTTCCTGGAAGAAATATCTTAACATCAAAAAATATTTGAAAATGGTAGGTCACATTTTTATTTAACTGACAAAATTACAAGAAAGAAAAATATCACTAAACAACGACCTTTTCTTTAATCGGACCTAGGGAAATATCTAAATGACAAATATTTATGGACGGGTTAAAAGGTTAGGGCCTGAAAAAAAAATACAAAATGTTCTAACTGTAATTTTTTTTGAAGTAACTAATTTTTGTCGGTTGGTCGCCGAAAACTTCAAAACGTTTACGAAATTTAAAATTACTAAGCTACATAAAATTCATTGCAGGAGCATAAAAATAGGACCAAATGATGAAGAAAAAAATATGGGATTCTAATAATATAATAAATAACTCAATATCAACCAGTGTCGCTTGGTAACTTTTTCCTTTCCAGCGTCGATATATACTAGGTGTCTCAAAAGTAAGTTCACATTTGCTTATCTTATTACGCGAAAGCAACTATTCTGAGGGGCGCGGGGGGTATGTCAGTCGGTAGTCTGGCTCTTGGGAATTTAGTCGCTATGGAGCGTTTCTCTGGTGCGGACCGTGCGTTGTGCGTACGTGAGTTTTACAAAAACGGTAATTCGGCGACTGTAGCGCGTAGAAAATTCTGCAGTATTCGACATATTCGTCACTTAAATGATGCGCCTAGCACTCGTCTCATTGCAAAATGGGTTGAGAAGTTTGAAGAGACTGGGTCAACTCTGGAGAAACCAAAATCTGGGCGACCAAGAACATCAAGAACAGCCGAAAACGTGGACAGTGTTACTCAGTCTATTCGAGATGATCCAAACCTCTCGATTCGGAAGCGTGCTGTTGCTTTAAATGTGCACAGATCTTCATTATGCCGCATTTTACACAAAGATTTAAAGCTGCACCCGTACAAAATTCAGTTAGTGCAAGAACTGAAGCCTCAAGATGCTGGTCAGAGGCTTGCCTTTGTAAATCAGATGATTGAGCGCTTTCCAACGTTCACCAACATCTTGTTTTCCGATGAAGCCCATTTTCACCTGAATGGGCATGTAAACAAGCAAAATTGTCGTTACTGGAGTGCAACCAACCCAAAACAAAAACATCAGAAACCGCTACATTCACCCAAAGTCACCGTATGGGCAGCGATGTCGGCGCGAGGAATTATCGGCCCTTACTTTTTTGAAGATGGAAGGGGACGCACACTCACAGTGAATTCAGAGCGTTATGTGGAGATGTTAGACGAGTTTTTCGTACCCCAACTGCAAAACTTTCCTGGTTACAACCAAAGAACATGGTTCCAGCAGGATGGAGCAACTTCACACACGTCCAACAGATCTCTGCCTCGAGTTCGAGAAATTTTTCCGAACAAATTAATCTCCTGGCGAGGTGACATAAATTGGCCTCCACGGAGTCCCGATTTAACGCCTATGGATTTTTTCCTGTGGGGTTATGTCAAATCAAAAGTTTACGCTAATAAACCGACTTCCCTGGCACAATTAAAAGAAAATATCCGTCATGAAATGGCAGCCATCACGGAGACTACCTGCCGAGCTGTCATAGGCAATTTTAGTGCCCGACTAAATGAATGCCGAGAGCGCAACGGTTTACATTTGGACAATGTTATTTTAAAAAATAAATTCCCAAACAGTGTACTTCAATATAAAATAAACATTTTTTCAATAAAGCTAAGACTTTTCTTTTAAAAAAAAGATTTAAATGTGAACTTTCTTTTGAGACACCTTGTATATAGAAGTAGGAATAGTTTAATCAATATTAGGAATAGATTAGCAATAAAATATTAGATACTAGAAGTATGTGTTATGTGCTTTATATTATTAGTTTATTTGTTTCATCCCTAATTACATATTTAATTAAATAAAACATAATAAGGGTATGTCAGTGTGCACAGACTTTTCCTTGCATGTGTTGTGTGAATTTGGATAATTTTTGGCATACTGATTTCTCAATACTATATAATAATTCTATTCACAGCATCCCGGCGTAGCGACAGTTTCCACAAGTGTTGCAGCACCAGGACCAATGCCTGGACAAATGCCAACTGGTCCTGTGGCGGCACCAGTAGCTGTTTCTACTAGCATGCCAACTGCCACTCCGGCACCACAGCCACCTACTGTTACAACTCAAGTAATTAATAGTTGTTTATTTTTAAAAACTTTGTATATTTTCGGCTATCTTTACATCTTCACTTTGTATGTAGGGAATTAACTTAGTGTCTTTAATATGAGGATATTACTGAATGATGTTAATAAAGGAATCGTACTTTTTTTTTAAAAAGAATATTAACAATGCTATAAACATTACTAATATTGCCCTTAACCACTCGTGGTAAGCTTAAATTGCTTGTGTTACGAGTGGTTCACGCCAGTAGTCGAATGGCGGATTCGAACCCACGACCTTTTTGAGTTCGCGGTCCGCGCCCTGCCATTAGGCTACTGTCGCTACTATTATTATACTAATATTATATATACATATTATTATACTAATAATGACTATAGATCACAAAAACAAATATTACAAATTTATCTGCACATTTATTTTTATAGAAAGTGTTGCCTATATCTTACTATAAAGCATTTGAGAACTAACTTTACTAATTTACAACTACTTAACTAATTAACTACTTATATTACTTCCTATAAAAAAAGAGATGAACCAAATTTATTTATAAACTATAAACTATTTTTTTATATTGTGAAATGTAAATATATGTGTACATATATATAAATTTATGTGACGAGTCAATACAAATTTAAGAAGTAATAATAAAGAACAAGTACAAATTTAAGAAGTAATAATAAAGATAATGTGATCTTCCATCATAAAAAATATCCAATTTCAATACTGGCAATTGCCAAATGATGTAAATTGCTTGTTCTATAGCTGTGATTGTATCACTAGAAACCATCGGACAACACAAAAGAAAAGTGCCGCAACTTCCTCGCGAACCTGCTCGACCTCTCTAGCAAGGAGCCAAAGTCTGTTGAGAGGAGCGTGAGAAACCTCATCCAAGAGCTTATAGATGCACAGGTAGAACCGGAAGAATTCTGCGATAGGCTTGAACGGTTGCTGAATGCCAGCCCTCAACCATGCCTTATTGGGTTTTTAAAGGTTAGTCATTAAATTCCAAATAAATAAAGAAAACATATTAACTTACAACTTAGTTATAACTTGAATTGTAATCTTAATGTAATAACCATAGAATACTATAATACATACATAATAGAATGGGGGAGTGGGCGGAGTCCGTGTAGCCAATAAAATGTCACTAACATGCCAATTCAAACGTATAACTGTCAACACGAGATGTGTTTTGACATTAAAATCGTTTCCAAATTTAGCATGCAAATTATTTAGGAAACGCAAAATTGCAAGCTATTTACAAATAAATATGTATTAAAATCCGTTTGTCAACACAGCGAATCGGGTTTGTAGTAGTGATTAACTGATATAACGACATAATTGCTTGTATGTGTGCTCCCGGCGACGCCTTACCTCGTACAAAATAAGGTTGACAGCCATTCTATTGTGTTTTATTGTATTCTATGGTAATAACAATAAATACAAAAATTTTCAGAAAAGTTTACCACTGCTGAGACAGTCTTTAGTTACCAAAGAATTGGTGATTGAAGGAATAAACCCACCTGCAGCTCATGTGGCTTTTTCCACAATTCCTGCGCCTACACCGCAGGTGATAACAGCTTCCAGCGTGCAATTGGTAAGTCAATTTCTTCGGTTATAAATTGTGCGTAAGTCTTTGATTGTGACACTATGTAATGCAACAAAATTGTTCATATAATTTTTGGTCTTGTCTACTTTAAAATTAGAATAACTTTCTTAGTGGATATGGCACTATAAGACTCATGATTCATGATTCCTGTAAGCAACACAGGTGGTCAGATTAATATGATATGTAAGAATATTATATAGGATAGGGAAACCCTCATATTGCATGATTTATTAGTTTTAATAGCCGCTGTGTATGATGATTTGTCACAAATTATTATAAAATGTTGTTATTTGCCAATTTATTTAATAATACATGTGTTACACAATAAAAAATCTGAAAAGCGGTTGACCGGTAGGCGAACCCTGGAAATTCCTGCTTGTTTCGAGCTTGAAACGCTCGAAAATCTTCCAATTGGTTGCTTTTTGAGCTATTTAAGTTCGAAAATTCAAGTTATATCAAAAAACTGTTATTCAGAAATTTTTAAATGACTACAACTTTTGAACGCTTCGTTCGATTTTGATTTACTTGGCGTCATTCGACGCTGTTATTTAAAGTGCAAAAAATTGTTTGTCAGCTCTTGAGTTGATAGATCGAAAAAATAAGTTATTTCAAAAAAAAAAAACGATTATTTAGAAATTTTTGAACTCGTTCGATTTTGACTTACTTGGCGGAATTGGACGCAGGTTTTCAAGTACTAAAAAGTGTCTTTGATGTCTGAAGTTAATTAGTCAATAATCTTAAAAGTTATTTTAAAAATTTGAATTTTTTTTTATTTTTTGCTGATTATTTTATGATTATGATTTTGAACTGAAGTGTCTATGACAACTTTCAAACACTGTATAGCTTATTGTAGCATCTCGATCGGTTGATTCATTCTAAAGATATCGTACGACATAATTTTATTTACATACACACACGGCCGAATGAAAAAATTATCATTTTTTATAGCGGGAAGTTAAAAAATAGATTAAGCTACAGCCTATATACGTCCCACTGCTGAGAACAGGCCTCTTCTCAATTCTAAGAAGGTTTTAGGGCTTGGAAATGTTTGCCGCGCTGCCCCAATGCGTGTTGACGAACTTCACTTCTTCGAATTTTTTTTCTTATATCCCTGACACGCAGATTTCGGGGTAAAAACAATAATTTCCCGAATTTTTAAAATTTTCTATTTCCTTAGCGGAAAGTTAAAAATTGTAAAATTTTACTTAATGTATCAATAAGTTTTGTATTTCTTTTTAACAGCAGAAACCAGTACCAAAGCCCGGTGGCACTATTGCTGTGCTGCAGAATATACCTGTTCACACTAAGATAAATGTGAGCAAAGTAGGCAAAACAATGACCGTGAATAGTAAGGCCAATTTCGCTCGTCCTGCGTTACCATCTGCAGCACTTTCCACTGTGCTTACTCCAGGAAAATCACTTTTGAAGGAGAAAGAAAAGAAATCCTCAATACAGTTTTCATCGCAGCCTTATGTAGATGACAAAATGGCTGGTGATGATGATATCAATGATGTTGCAGCTATGGGTGGAGTGAATTTGGCTGAAGAAACCCAGAGAATTCTTGGATCTACAGAAATGATTGGAACACAAATTAGGTAAGCGTTGCTACTTGTGGTGTTTTGTGCTGACTTCAATTCATTTTATAATTTGTTTTATTTTATATAATATTTTTTGGCTGAATTCCATTTGGCATAACTACTTTTTACTTTTTAGGTCATGCAAAGATGAGTACCTAGTACCAATGAGCTTAATGCAAGCTAGGTTAAAAGCTATGGCCCTTAAGCATGGTCTTGACGAACCTTCTCCTGAAGTAGCAGGCCTTCTGAGCCATGCAGTTCATGAGAGGCTCAAAAATATTGTGGAAAAGTTGGCAGTTATCGCGCAGCACAGGATTGACTTGTTGATCAAGGTATGCCGTGAATAAACTACTCATAGGAAATGTTTCTCATCATCATCTTCATTACAGCCTACCAAAAATCCACTGCTAAGCATAGTCAAATTTTTTCAGTAGTTATTTCATAACATTTCAATAATCCATATCCATACAGAATCTTGGTATTGTGATTTGGATGTTATTCTATCCATAATATCACCATATTTAGAAGATAACATGTGAAAGTTCTCGTTTTTAGATACTTTGTACTGAATATGTAATACTGAGTATTTTATTTTATCTTGAGGAAGTGATGAGATGTTTAAATTGACGACTACTTGGAGCATGAGAACTTATGAACAATAATTATACTAGTTATCTACTGGCACTATGAAGTAAATTCAAAAAAATATTTTTGAATTAGTTAAAGGAATAGGGATCCTTCTCAGTGGCAAAAGTGAATCCATCGTATCTTGTATATACCAGATATGAGACATCAGATTCTGTATTTTTCGAACAGTTGGCCAACTGTCTGTCAAATGTGGTAGATTGTTAATGGTCTAAAGAAGAAGAAGAATATTAGTTTGCAGTGTAGTAAAAGCTGTGCGATATAAATTTACATTACGATGCAGCTAAAATATATAGTTGCACAATTTATTTAGATGTTAAATAATCTGACTGATTTTATTTATTTAATATTGTGTCAGCATCAGCATATTTATTTACTTTATATACATAATTAGTGCATAACAACAGCTTTTGTATTGCAGTGTAGCAATTTTCTTAGTGTACATATTGTGTATTACAAAATTTAAAGCGAATATATATCCTAGTTTTAATAGTGGATGGCAGGCACAGTTTACATTACACTAAAGTGCACTTAGATAGAGAAATTTTATTCCAGTTATTTAGTGAATGAAAAACAGTTATGGCTTGAGTCTCATAAAACAGGACTTATGTAGACTACACTTTATGTAGTAGAGGCAAGCTGAAGCTATATTATGGCTGCAGGAAGAATGGGTCGGCCCGACGGGGGTAGGATTACGCTCTCACAGAATACCAGCGTAAAATAGCAGCTTAATGCTACTGTGTTTTGTTTGGTGAGTGTAGTGAACCGGAGATTATTTTTACTGGAAACAAGGCATTTCATCTTAGTCCTCAGATGATGAAGCAGGTATGTTTATGGGCCGCAGCATCCACTTACCATTAGGCGGACTGTGGACTGTGTACTCATTTGCCATCCTTCTTCAATAAATAAAAAATTGCACCACGTATTTAACATACTTTATACGAATTTTCAACAAAATAATATATTATTGAATAAAACTAAATTCACCGTTTAAGCACATTTGCATATTGAGGATTAATGTAGATATCTATCGGTCATAGCATCCATTTACCATCAGGTGAACTGTGGGCTTTTTTGTCATCTGTATTCTATAAAAAAACCTTGAGTGACCATTCAATAATTGTTATTGATTATAATTACTATATGGTATTACAATTGCTGGATTTTTCGCTGAATCCTCCGCTAGGATTCGCCATTTTTTTAGTTTATTTATTATGATTAACCATAGAACACTATAATACATACATAATAGAACGGGGGAGTGGGCGGAGCCTGTGTAGCCACTAACATGTCAATTTACACCTACAAATGTCAACACAATCCTTTTCAATTATCGTGTCAAGCGTCGTTGCATGCAAACTATTTAAAAAATGGCAAATTGCGAAATAATTACGTGTCGAAAGAACAACGGGAAATGGAATTTAAATAAAGGAGATATATCCTACAACTAGTAAGTCGAAACTATTTATATTTTGTAAATATTAAAAATAATAATAAAGAAATATTGATGTGTTAAAAACCTTAATCAATGTGTAAATTCGCTCAGTCAGTGAATCGGGTTTGTAGTAATAATACGACGTAATTGCTTGTATGCGTTCTCCCGGCGACACCGATCCTCTTATAAAATAAGGTTAACAACCATTATATTGTGTATTATTATATTATTCTATGTCCACCATATTTAAAGAAAAAAACACTTTTTGGGAAGGAGACTGAAATAAGTACACTAGAATATATGTACTATGTAGTGTTTGGTTAATAAAGAGCATCTCATTCTTTGCGAAATTTTTATATTTTAATATACTTAATGAGTTAGATTTATCGATTCCGGGTTTTGTGGATATAATCTTATGAAAATTGTATGAAATGATCCGAAATAAACGCGATGCGAATCAAAATTATGTTAAAATTAATTTAGTGAAATAAGTGTTTTTAAAATGGTATTTTACATTTTCTATTTTAGTATTTTTTTTTATAAAACTAAAGTAAAAAACGAACTTACCATCCACCCGGTGGTGACTACGGCAGTCTATGAACACCTTTAATCTATTCAGTAATAAATAAATCTACATAAAACACAAAGCTTAGACAAGTTGGACAACAAAACTAATTCCATTCAATTTGAAAATAATTTGAAACTTTCCCGTTTATAATAATATGTCTTTGTTGAAAAATCAAACGCTATGTGGCAGCAGTCTAGTATACTGTCACTCCCTTTTATCCCATAGATTTCGTACGAGCCGACAGAGGGAAATGCCTTGTAAAAAAAAGGAGACCTTTCGGCTTCCGTTGAATGGCGGCATAACCATCACATTCTTCGTCAGACCAAAAGTGCCCAGGCCTGTGTTGGGCAGCAGCGTCACAGGTGCGATGTGTCCGGCACTGCGATCGCCAACCCGCTTGCTCGTGGCGATTAAGGGCAAATCCTCATGCATAACACCATAAAAATATGCTATTCATTATTCCTGGCCGTGGTGGCGGTTATGTCAACGGTGGGGCAGAGGGTGTGAAAAATCCCCTATAGAGGACAGATTACCACCAAAATCTTTACTTGTCGACGTATAATGGACGAGCTCTGCGGCAAGACGGACACATTTACGAACTGGAAGCTGAGCTGGAAAATATAAGATGGTATATTGTAGGGTTAAGTTCGAAGGGAGAGGAAGGATAAATTTACTCTGCAATCGGGCCATCTGGTCTACTTTCGAGAGAGATACTGCCTTTTCCAAGGCGGAGTAGGTTTCCTTGTTCACAGGATCCTCACCAACAACATTGTAGAAATCTGCAGTGTGTCGACATGGGTGGCTTACCTCGTACTTAAGTAATCAAATAGATACGTTTATGCCCCGACCTCGGCATATTCGGATGATGAAGTTGATACTGTTAATGAAGACATTTCTAGGTCCTTATGTGACACCACTAAAGACCACTACAATGTTGTTATAGGGAATTTTAATGCCAAAGCGGGTAAGCACACGGGCATCCAATCGATTTTAGGATTCCACGGTTTTGGAAGCAGATATCACAGGGGATAAATGCTGGTCAACTTCCTCGAGAAAGAGGGTCTATTTCTGATGAATTCGTTATTAGAGAAAAAGCCCCAAAGGAAGTGGACCTGGCGCAGTCCCGATAACATTACAAAAAACGAGATTGACTTCATCATGACGGACAAAAGGCACATATCCAGAGACGTCTCAGTGTCAACAAATTCAATACCGCAAGCGACCACGACTTGTTCGAGGCACTCTGAATATCGATTTTACGCTTGAAAAGTCTCGATTTATAAAGTCTACGATTCGACCAAATCTGCTTCAAACCGTTCTGGCTCCCAACGCTTCCAGCTAGAACTTAAGAACTGATTCGATGCCCTGAGACCCACGTTGGATATTGACGAGAACCTTATCAGCGTGATCAAGATCTTAAGGGATGAGGGCAACAGGTATGTGGCAAGCAACATATGGGCCGAAAGTAGAAGTTCTCTGATGAGATACTTCAGCTTACGAAAAGAAGGCGTGAGTTAACAACAGCGACACCATCGAGGTGACACTAACCAAGCTTGTGAGGAAAGCTGTGACCGGGACCTGCGTCGCTCTAAAGCAATTGCTATATCAACAACGGTAATAGAGCGAAACAAGGGATCCAAAATCTTTGCTCGTGAGCTTGGAAGAAGTCACATCGTAAAACTCCGGACGCGTGATGGCAAAGTCCACATGTCAAAGTCTGAGGTTCTCTCTGAGATCGAACACTATTATGGCAAACTACATGCCTCACATAAGCCATAACCTGACCCTAAATGCGATGATCCCAGAGCCACGCTGACCCGCCACTATACGGACGAGCTGCCAGACATCTGCCTTGGGGAGATTGAGCTGGCCCTCGTACAACTTAAAAATGGAAAAGTCTCTGGAGAAGATGGAGTTACAATACAGCTCTTAAAGGCTGGGAGTTAACCCTTGCTAAAAGAGCTAGAATTATTGTTACCACCCCCTCTCTTCGGACTTCAGATAATCCTATAATATCTCAGCGCAACATGTTTATCACTTCTTCTAGTTCCAGGATCTTTTCGTCAGTCCTCATGGTGCGTGCGTTATATGTGTATGCGTAATATGTTGCCACGTCGCATCGCGCATAGCTGACAGCCGAACCTCTATCCGGAGATTCTTAGCACCTCATGCGTCGCCGTTACCATAGTTGCCACCGTAGCCAAGAATAGCGGGGCTGCCGGGGACTGGAGGCGGTTCATTTGTGTCGTCGGTCATGGGGGGTATATTGTCATAGTTGCCACGCTAGGCGAGCGGGTTGGCAACCGCAGTATTTTATTGTTTTTGCTGTTATCAGAAAGGTGCTACTGCCCATCTTCTGCCTCAGTTTCCTTTTATCGCCTCTTACAACACCCACGAGAAGATATGGCGTAGTGGGTATTCTTATCCACCAATACACCCGCATTTTTGATCAAATATCTCAAGATTTCTACAGTACCGGGATTACGTCACTATCTACAAGATGGTAAACAACTTATCGAACAAAGTGGCACATATAATTAAATATAATTAAACTTTGAAAAAAAAAATGTCTTGAATTTGTATATAAAATACGAAGAAACTTTTACCCGACTTAATATTTATTTTCCACTATACACCATTAATATAAATGATAAGATATGGCCGTGCGTACAAAAATTGTTCAC